TGACCTGCCTGAAGGTGTTAGGAATGTGTGAAATACATTAAATGCCAATTGCAAGCGTTCCTTGCAGTTGTAATCTTCTGCTTTATGATAGAAATTTACACAGGACTGGTTCTTCACTATTACTGACTCAGCCAGATAGAAATGAATGCGGTGATGTGATTATAATACTTTTACTAAATGTGGTTGTTTGAGAGGTCTAGGCCCGGAAAAGACGTTTCTGTATCAACAATCCTTAAGCTTGGCGTCTTTTACGTCAACTTGACGACCACTAGCCTCAACGTCATCGCAGCTGAGCTTACTTTGAACACCCCTAGGGTGGGTGATTCCTATCTCGCAAAGCAGTCGCCTCTTTTCTTTGCTCGTTTGCAAGCTGTAGCTTTGTAGTGGGAAGATATTATGCCCCTACGACATTGCCTTTCGCTTACTTTGACTTCTGCCCTATCTCCTGAAGCAGTCATATTTTTGCAACAGGCGAGAAGAAAACAATTTCTAAGGAGTATTCTTGACTAATTTTCAATGCTCGTTTTCCAGCAATTAATCCCTTCCGCAGCGAAGCAGTTTAAACAGACATATTTCTGTAGTTCATAAGAGTAAGCTAGGTAATTTCAAATAATAGGTCTAATGGAATTTTAAATGCTCATTTTCTGATATGTGAATACCTTTTTTTCGGCATTGCATTCACTACACTTCCCTGCAGGAAACTCTCGTGAAATGTGACTTTGGTGACGCAATCGCTGTTGACCTTATCTGAGGTCGAACGTTATTGGTTGATTAACTCATTTCATATTCCATGGACTTGTTGAACAGGGAAATTGGTAGCTTATCATCACCTCAAACGCAGCAGTGCACTCTTGTGCGATTTTTTGTCAAATAGTCCTAATTTTCTCACAGCCAAGGGGGAGGTTATTAATGCAATACTTATGATGTTGCAACGTTCCTTTCACAGAGGAGGCGCGAATACATTTCGAACTCGGTGACAGAGTCGAAGGCCTGCAAGCCTAAGAGTGGCTGCGAAACCTCACCCAATTAAACACTGTACTCGTTTTCCCTATCCACTTCTTCCAATAAATATGTTGAAATTAAAATAAACGGAATGACTAAAGAGCACTAGAAACAAGGAAGACGAGACCGACAATACTCGACCTACACTGGTAGCAGGGCCGGCAGAACTACCGCCTATCAAAGATGACATGAACTTTAAAGACTAGCTCAAAAAATCCAAATTTAATCGCCATCTCCATCCTCGGTAAAAGGTACGATGCCGCCGTTGAAATATGATGCGATATATTGGATAAATTCGTAATCGATAGCGGAAAAAAAACACTTGACAGAGACTTATTTCGCCATTTGCAAGAAGCTAACGAGGACGACAAATATTAATTTTCACGCAGGTGAGATGCGGTCAACTCAGATGCAGCTGTCGACGCGTGAGACAAGGAGGAAACTGTCAGAGCCAATAGCAGGCGACGATAGCGGTGACGAGCCAATGAGATGTGCAAAGTGATTAGACTTCTGCGTAGCCAATAAGAAGTGTGCCTCAGTGTGACGGAAGGTGGCTATAAGTAGGGGGCAGTGAGTCACGCGATGCTATCACGCTTGAATCGGTTGGTGGCTTGCTTAGCGAAGAGGACAATGAGCGGTAGAGGCAAAGGGGGCAAATCACGGGCTAAAGCGAAG